AGTAGATCATAACCATATTTATGATAATTTTCCAGGCAAATTTGCCTGGAAAAGCCTACAGTTTAAGGGATAATAAACAAGTATAAATGAGTTTTAAGAATACAAATAAAAACCCTTTATTTTATTTTAATCCAATTTCATTATAATTCATAGCAATTTATAATAAAAATTCTATATTATACTTAATTCAGTATAAGCTTATAATATACTAGTCTATAAAGTTGAATTAATAAAAATCAAACAAATTTTTTTTAAATAAATTTTTTTAAAACTTTAAACAATAACAACTCAATAAAAATTTAATCAAATTTAATACAAATTTATAAAATTTATTTAAAAAATTTTTATTAAATTTGATTAAAGTTTTGTTAAACTATTGGTGATTAAAGTTTTAAAAAAATTTACTTAAATAATCTAGGTAAGTTTTAACCACTCTAATAGATTTAGGTTGCAAATAAATTAGATTTAATAATCTATAGTCTGAGTCTTATTTGTGTAAAAATTTATAAACCGACTCTGGCCAATGATACCCCTAATAGTTATCCAATACAAATAAATAAAGATAAAGACAAAACCTCACCTTAAAAAAAAAAAAAAAATTTAAAAAAAATTTGCTTGATTTCTACTAACTCAACCCCATATTGTCAAATTCAGCCATGAATATTGTCAATATCTCTAGCGTAACTACCGGAATTCTATTAATCATGAGCAGCTCTTTTAATTTTCTAAATTGTTTACTATGCACATGCAATGGGGATTGATCGCCGGTCCAGTCCGTCCCGGTTCTAATAATACCAGTCCATCAATGTTTTTCGGTCCGGTCTCGGTCCAAAGACAGTCCCAATCTCTAACCATCGTCTTGTCTGGCGGAGAAAAATATCATATGACGTCGGTAGTCGAAATAAGTGATTATCTGATATACTTTTTTTTAACAGTCAAACTATCTGTGAAGACCAGTCCGGACTGGTCTCATGACCGAGAACAGAATAAACATGAACCGGTTAAAAGACTAGTCCTTATTCAGTCTTTTCAGAACCGATCCAACCCTGGCTTACAATACGAAAGATTTAACAACTATTATCGTTATTTAGAGCAAAATCTATTTACGAGCCTAATATTTAATGACTCATTAAATATGGATTCACAAACTAAAATTTGTATAAATATTGAACTACACTTAACAAAGGGTCGATCAAATTCTTATAGCTGTCCAAATTGCAGCCTTGCATCCATTATGTATAATGGTTGACAATAAATTATATAATGGTGCCTAAAAGGATTTCATTAATATTTTAAGCTAGATTAAATTAGGATGCAATGCTGTTACCTTTCGTGCTTCATAATCTACTGCAGTGTCCAAATGATGCAATTCATCGTCACGGAACTCTTTAATTATCTTTTCATACAAGAGCATAATTATAATAAGTGAGAAACACTAACGAATTCATTGATATTGAACAATGTAAAATTTAAACCTTTTTCAAATCTTCAACATCCACATTTTCGATATGCAATAAATCTCGCAATTGACTATCAAATGATTGTAAAAATCAATATGTACCAGCGTAACTCTCGATTTCGAGATCCGTAATTACAGTAAAAGATATTTACTCATTATAATGTTCTCCAATTACAGTTTCAACTGCTTCAGTACACGCCATAGCTGCCTCTTTACCCATAAGTGCGGTGCCGGCACCAAGAATAAAACCCGCCGCTTCCCAAACTGGACGCAGCAAAGTAGGCCTTACCCTATAGCGAGGGATCATTTCATCGAACGTATGAAGATGATGTTTTTCTTGGTCCCACATTTCCTGTGGTCAGTTATTTCGGTTATCATGTGATTTTAACAATTATCCCTTAAACCGTCTTGCAAGAAAATTTGCCTGCAAATTATCAGTGTGATCTGTAACATTGAATCAAGTCCTTGTTGCAACATATTTCAAGCTTCATGATTATGATGGAACGGTTCAAGGGATGCACTTTAATTTTCACTGACTCACTTGAATCACAGGACCAACTTTTTTATCTCTACCTAAAATAGCCATTTGACCTTTATAGATCCAATTTGCACCTATTTCTCCTGCTTGATCAACTCTTATCATACCATCAATAAGTTTTTTTTGTTCAGCTGTCAGTTTATCATTTTTGGTCGTACTTTTAATTGTACGTTGGTTTTGTAGGCATGCAAATTGGTACTGTAACCGGTTGTTATTTAAATTGATATTAACAAAAAAAAGATTCGCATGGATCGTTCGGGAGAATTGTCGTAAATATATCGATTTCATTTCCGATAGAAAATTATGCTATAATCAGTGTTGTTAAGATCTGTGGTCAACTAAAAATTTGCTGGTCATTGGTCGAATGCCCATTGGTCTGATTAGTCTGGTCAATTGGTGATCAGTTACACAGACCAATTTGACCAATTTGACCATGGTCGAATTGGTCAAATTGGTCAAATTGGTCTGTGTAA